TGCATGCAGACACAGCTATACATACTCGCATATACATATAAACTTTACACATGCATATACACCTGCAGTAAAACACTGCGGTCAATCCAGCCGTGGTTCAGAAAAACACGGTTAAGCCAGCTGCGATTGAGATTCGTGTGCGCGCATATTACCATGATTACGGTAAATGCAGGAACACTCAGAGAGAACGGGGCTGTCAGAGCGCTTTTCATTTAGAGGCCCTGACAGAATTGAGATATAATATAAGATGACATTTCTCGATTTCGTTTTTGTACTTCTGCTTTAATATGCGTGTTATTTATTGGTGTTTTGACGGTTGTGAGTTAGCCTACTGTATTTTTCGACCTTTGAAATCATAGCAGGATTCGTAGAAAAAGATATATGGAAATTATTCGATTTAGAGGGTATAAAGACTCCATTTCTAATTAGAACAAATGAATGGTCAGTTTGTTCCATACTACATGCACACCTCCTATAAAACCATTTTACTACAGCGTTTTCAAGATATGACAAATTATTACACTTTAGAGGCCTATAAAGACCCCATTTCTAATAAACAGAGAAAGCTAATGGTTAATTCTTATACGGGATGTCCCATATTATATGCACACCTCATATCAAACCATTTAACTGCAGAATTTCTGAGATATGTGATTATATGGTACTTCAGAGGGCTATAAAGACCCCATTTCTAATAAGCAGAAAAAACAAAACAATGGCCAGTTCTTATATGGGACGTCCCATACTATATGAATTCACACCTCAAATAAAAACATTTTACTGCAGCATTTTTGAGATGTAACACATTATTACACTTTAGAAGGCTGTAAAGACACCATTTCTAATATGTAGAATAAATGAATGGTCAGTTCTTATATGTGACGTCCCGTACTATAATCACAACTCAAACGAAAGTCCCCCACAAGGCGACCCGCCTCCCGAACCAATCCAACCTCTTGTCACACTGGTCGAGGCCTGGCAGGCCATTCCTGGAGTGTCAAGTTGGGTTTTGGGGATAATAAAGCGAGGTTATTCACTCCAATTCGCTCAAAGACCCCCGCGCTTTAGCGGAGTTTGCCACACTTCGGTTAGAGCAACGACACACACACGTCCTGCGCTCCGAAGTAAAGAATCTGCTGGGAAGGAGCCACAGAGGTGGTTCATCTGGCCCAGAGCGATTCAGGCTTCTAAAGCCGTTAGTTCCTCGTCCCCAAAACGGATACCGTCCTACGGCCCATCCTCGATCTCGGACGTCTGAATCGCGCCCTCATGAGACGGCCATTCAAGATGATTACGCTGGAACAGATCCTCTCGCATATCCGACCAGAGGACAGGTTCTTTTTTCTGGACATGAAAGACGCCTACTTTCATATCCAAATAGCCCCCATCACAGGCCATTCTTGACATTCGCCTTCGAAGGGTGGCTTATCAATATACGGTCAGCCCTTTGGGCTGTCCCTGGCTCCACGTACTTTCACGAAGTGAAACTTTCATGCCTGTCAAACCTTCCTACCAGACCAAGTTATGGAACCATTTGCATATTCAGCAGATCTACAGTTGAAGGGAACATCAAATTCTTAGTTCAAACACACCTTGAAAAGGCGCAAATGATACCTAATGTATCAATTAATAAGACTAA